TCAGAATCGAGAAAGTGCGAAGGGTGAACACGGCGAAACCAGTGCCAAGCAAGTCGAACCAGACACCAGCATCACTCTTGCTCGTCGATAGCGGATCCCAATTTCCTTGGTGTTGGTCCATTGCTCGTGTGGTTGACAATGCTGCAGAGAGCATATGCCAGAGGCTGTCTCTGCTAGTGTCTTTCGCTCCATCTTGATTCGTATGATATCTTGATCGTGGCTCCATGAAAGCGACATCGAGACCTCGCAAGTCCAGATCATCGGTGAAAACACTGTAATCGGTACCGCTTCTCACCAGGCCTCTTTTGAAACCATCAGCGCTGAGTACAGTGCCGAAGGGATGAGGAGAGCTTGCGTAAAACGAGGTGATATCTGCGTCAGTGCTTCTGAAGAGTGTTGCTCTACCTCCAGCTCCAGCACCTTCTAAGTTCAGGAAGCTACCGGCAAAGGAGCTCCATGGGTGTTGTGCAAAAGCATGCGCACCGTACAGGCCATCTTCTTCGCCGTTGTTTAGCAGGAATATGATACCTTTACGAGGTGTATGGATCGAGTAATATGAGATCAGCTGTAGGATCGTGACCACACCACAGCCATCGTCCGTGGCGCCATATCCTGTAGACACCGAATCGTAGTGTGCGTTGATCAGAAGACCTTGCTTCGGCTGGAAAGGTCGTTCCCACCAGGCGTCAGGTTCGTCCTCGACACCGCGTACATACACCATCACGTTCTCTGACTCGATGTAGCAAGTCCATGGTCGATTACGCCATGAGTCTACAAAGGTGACATTGCTCTTCAGATCTTCCCAGATGACAACGTCGCTGGATTTGTGCTGATCAGATACTGTCCGGTTGTTACTAAGTACTATTGCTGTAGTTCGGTCGACGAGCCATTCTCTAATCTCGTCATTCCTGTGTGAGTTGAATGGTCTAAAATCGCGAGAGAGTTCTTGTAGGTCCCTCCAAGCTTGTGTTTGATTCAGACCAACAAAGGGTGCCTCGTCCTGAGGTGCTGCTGGTACTTTGATGTGAACGTATAGAACAATGGTCAACAGCAAGAGATATATGCCACTGATTATGGTGGTGACCTGTAAAGGCTGGAATGCAATCGGCTTGCTCAGAGCTCGGATTGAGAGAGGTTGTCCTGGCATACTTGGGAATGCTTTCGCACTGATGCTTGATCGCTGGCTCGTCAGAATACCAAGCTTGTGCTCAGCCTGCCATCCATTAGATTTGGCGAAGATGTGTTGGCCATGGAAGTGAGAAGTCGTTGTTGATCAGTAGCTTGTGTCAGGTGATGACATCTCCACTTTGCAATAGAAGGACCCCAAGCTTTTTCAACCACTCTTCCTTCACGAACCCTCTCGCAACTTTTCTCGCCTGTTCAAGGCATTCTCCTGCTCGGCATGTCCTTGTATGTATCGACCAGGTAGGTATGCGCACTTGTGCCGTTTCCCAGCTCGAAAGGACACGCATTCTGCTCCATTGGAGATCACAAAGACAGAACCCTCCTACCTCGCGTCACCAGAAGTCCCTCACACGCGTACAAGCTTGCTTACCTTCAGACAAGATCGCTCACGATCACACGCATCGCGAGTAAGAGAAGGAATGTGGCATGGAGGACGGGCACTCGAGGTCATATATACATCAATGGTGAGCAAGACAGCTGCGTAACCGCGAACAATACATGTTGCCAATCCTGTGTGTCATCAGCTGTGCTCAACATTGCCAGACTTCCTGCACAGAGTGCAAAGACGACCTCCCGCGATACTGGCGATACCAACACGGAGCACTGAGGCAGGCAGATCGACAGACTGACACGGCCTCAAGCCGATCAGAGTTGATCACGCCCACAACACTCGTCAGCAGCACTCTTGACGGGATCTAATGCTTACAACCACTCCTTTCGTCATAGCAGCGACATGCAAGCTTTCGCTCATCCTACCGCCCAGCTAGCTAAATTCACTCGTCAAGCATTGCATGTGCATAGCGGATGGTCATTGCAGCTTCACATCCCTCCATGAATGAAGCTGATGGTGGAGCAACTTCATGAACAGGTGAATGAGATGTAACAATGCATACGACTTGTACGAAACAACAACAAACTTTGAAGCATTGCAAAGCAAGGACAAGACCATCGCTGCCACTTTCTCATTCCTTCGTTATCACTCGTATGGGAGAATGCACATCAACTCCTCGCGGACAGAGTTGCAGTTGCGCAGCTTACTTGCGGAACGTCATAGGAGGTGGTGCCGGTACAGAAGTTCTTATCGTAACATCTGCAGTCATTAGCTTGCGCTCAAGCCTACGGCAAGACTGACCCTCCAAAGCGATGGCCACACGTCACACCATCAACACATATACTCATTGGAGTGCAGATTGAGATGGTGTCAAGAGGAGGTTGTGAGGAGGTTGTTGAACTTGGTGCACTGGTTGAAGTCTGTCCGCGACGAGTCGAGCGCGCGCTGCTAGTGAGCCCTGGCAGCAGACGAGCCTCACTAAAGAACGATACTTCTGGGTCTGGATCTGGTAGCACGATCCTTGGAGGTGAGTTTCGACTCTCCAGATCATGCCGTCCAAACAAGGCAACCGCAGAAGCCGTAGTAATGAAGAATGTGTATGCGAGTTTCATCTTGAGCTGGAGGGAATGCTGAGGAATGGAAGGGAAACAACTGGACTTTGCGAGGCTTTTTATCACCTCTCTTTGACATCTTACTGTCGACATCCATCAGCAGTGTCTCACACAGGGATCCGATCGAATGGTTACAGGTTACCACGAGCTATTGGACGATCTGTCTGCTGCCAGAGATCATGTCGACGCAACGGGAACTCGGCATTGGAATGCAACATCCATGAGTGGAATGTTCTGTCGTTTGTACATTCATAGCTTAAGGGATGTGACTATCGATATTGTCAGCTCAATATATTAGGATCCGCTCAATTGGCACGCTTGCCGTTCTGGTAGCCTATCACAGAGTACAAATCCATTAATGATGTGCGACAGAGCAGGTGAATTGGAACAACCAGTATCATTTGGCGAGAGCGTTGCACGCAGACTACGGACGTGCCGTGATGCCGATACGTTTCATGTCTTGGAATTCTCGCTTCACCTCTTTGAGAAGGTCGGATGAAGACAGCACATCAACAGCAGTCGCAGCGAGGGCCTTAGCCACTCTCAGGGCGAGTTCGTGAGCTTCTGTAGTCCTTGCAGCCTTCTCAAAATCCGGTGTGTGCGGACCTCCAAGCTGGGCTCCATCTTCTGTTTCACTACGGATCCAGAAGAACGGAGAGATCGACGGCATGGCATGACTTATATCGCCTTGGTCTGTGCTAGCCTGTGTGATCGCCGGGCCGTCAATGTGTCCTCCCAACGCGCCGAAGTGTTGGCCATAGCGAATACCGAGTGCCTGATTAGACACATGATCTAAATACCCAAGTCCCTGCAAGTCCGATTAGCACTGACTGTATCACGACAGCATCCTACCTCGACTGTCCGGTATTTGGCCGCAGTAGCCATCGCAGCGCCCTCAACGCAAGCGAGGAACTTGTCCATCAATCGACTCAATCTTTCCAAGCTTGGCGCGCGCAGCACAAACTGACCGGAGGCATAAGCGTGGATGATGTTTGGCTTCTCGCCTCCGTTGGTGATCTTGTACTGAATGATGTCTCCAGGCTGGTTCTGCTGTCTCGAAGCGGAGATGTTGTTGATGGTGAGGATGAGAGCATCTAGAGCGTTGACCTGCGAATCCGTGAGCTTGGCTCGACACCCATCATTCACCTACACCTTCCCAAGGCGCTGCAGCTGCATGAGCTGCTTTACCAAAGTATTCGACATGAATCTCGGCGTAGGCTGCTGTGTGCACTAACGCAGCATCAGGAGTTACGCCTGGGTGCGATATCATCGAGACGTCCACATCCTGGTAAGCGCCAGCCTTCAGAAGTTTGATCTTCCCGCCACCACCTTCTGCACGTTGTCAGTCTTGATGCGTGTTCGAGGAGTTCCACGGAATAGGTACCAACCTTCGCCAGGTGTACCAAATATCATTACCCGACCCGGCAGACCGTCATCATGGACGATCTTGGCCGCTGCCAATGCAGCAGCAAGGGAAACCACAGCGATGAGGTTGTGTCCACAAGCATGACCAATGCCTGGCAGCGCATCTGTGATGGTTCAGCCTAACTTTCCAACACGTGGGTATGCTGCGAACCGTATTCTGCATTGAAGGAGACTGTCGCACCGCTTGATCGGCCCTCGAATGATGCGACAAAGGCTGTGTCCATGCCATACGCTGGAGACGTCACCTGCCAACCTGACTGTTGTCGGAGATATGTTGTCAAAAGATGGTGGGCGTGTCGTTCTTTGAACTTGAGCTCGGGATGAGCATGAATGTCCAGACTGATGGCTCTCAGATCGTCACTGATACTCTCGATGTGACGTCCAATGCGAGACAACATGCTTGTGTCCATGGCTTGCTCACCTACCTCGATCGCGATCCAGTCGTCATCTTCGGCCCTGAAGTCGGACGTCTTGACAAACACCCTACACGAGCGACAAGGTTCGGCAGGTCTATCTCGATGATGCTGTCGGGCGCACATGCAGTCGAGCCGACGAAACGAGTAAGGCGCGGACTATGGCTGGGGATGGGTAGCAGTTGTCCGCCTCGACTGCAAGTGTGCGAGTCTGCTGTTTCAGTTGTTGTATGTCTCTGTACAACTTGTCCAGAGCATGCCACGATGTTGTGCGTTCGTACGACTTGATACTGTCACGTCCGCACGATCTCAGGCAATGTTGAGAGGGCTAGACTCGTCAAGCGATGCGTTCTCAGTTGCCGAGTGCCGGACCGATGCGTCGAAAGACGCATAAATGTGATGTGTGTCATTCCACGAGCGCTGCATGACGGCGCATTATGTCGCCCCTGCCAGAGTGCTGGTAGATTGATACCGCTAGTGATTGTCGCTGATATTGTTGCCATGGTATAGAGACTTCAATCAGCAAAAAGTTATTGCATCGAAGGAGGTTCGAACTCCTGCGGATCACTCCAGTAGGGATCTCAAGTTATAGAACTTAAATCTACCGCCTTAACCACTCGGCCATCGATGCAGAATCATCGAAATTTTGTGTCACGACTCCAAATGACGTGCTGCGTTGTGTCACAGCGGCCAGCATCAACTCTGTGAAGTCTGCCGCTGGTCAAAGACGCCAAATGTGTACGGTGGAGCTCATAGATGATGAGACGTGTGGTCTACCCACATCGAGTACGCCAGACGAAGTCTCGTAGATCAGAGACGACGCTCTCCTGCTCCCGCTTGCCTGCAGGATACCCCCAGCGATCATCGACCTCACCGTGCGCTCAGCACGAGGATGTCGAGACAGCTTCACAGGCAGGACGAGTGAACGATACAATCGATGCGAAGCTGTTTGAGCGCCAAGCATACTGCACCAACCCTTCTCGCAGCGACAATTGGGTGTTGACTTGTCTTGCTCGCGGGTAGACAGCATCGTTCAATTCTCCAATCCTGTATCCACAGCTTGTATTAGCGTACGCACGCCGGCGCGTTCGAGACGATAAGGACGATCCTCAAGCCTCGCTGGCCTCATTCCAGTACATCGAAAGAGTAGTCGAGCTGCGAACGGCGGCGGCATCGCCAGCACACCTTTCACGCAGCCATGATGGCGGCATGCTGAGGCACTGTGAGAGATGTTTGCCAGTTCCACAACCTGCTCACACTGTGACACTCCTGTCAGTATGCACAATGCCGCTGCGAGCCTGAAGAATGGATCTCGAAATGCGACCGCTTGGCGCTTGCTTAGGAGAGTGACGTCGAAGCAAGGATGTCTAAAGAGAGTTCGATCAGTCCAAATAACGATAGAGCAACGAACTCGAACTCTGATAGTCGGATGTCGATTGTGGCAGATGTCAAGTCCTCCAATTGCCGCTGCACAGGCCAAGTATACCAGGGTCCTCTATGACATGTTGCCTGGTTGAGCTTCTACTGACGTTCAACGTCGCAGACTTTTCTCCCATCATCGCTTCTTCCGAGCAAATCATACTACTTGTCTAAGGTTTTCCTCGTTCGCTCTAGTCGTAGATCATCATCACAAGCGTCGTCGCAGTGAGAGTGACTTATCACAGTCTACGGGCACACCTCGGTGGTACACCTTCCTGACCAATGCTCTCACATTCCAGTGATGCATTCCACAGATCAATCAAGGAGCTGGAGATTCTGCGCACAGCTACTACACCGTAGTCCTGTACTGACAGTCAGCAGTCGTCACAAGAAAACGTGTTCATAATACGATCCACAGAAACCCTCGCAGTTGCAAATCATGCGGTATATATCAGACAATGCCCACATTTCGCGATTTAGAGATGCTTGACCCACTGGGTCGTGGATGCCGCCGTCTCCTAAGGCGCTTGCTGCTTCTGAGTGCGTGGTCGTCATGGCCTATTCCTATCGCTTGCCACGGACAGGAATGCGAACGCAATTCGCCGCAACGTGCCCTATCGTCGAGCGCTGGATGCTGAGTACGGGGTGGGTTGAGTTGTGTCTCGAAGGCGTATTGTTTTTCCTCCCATTTCTTCTCTGATCGCAAAAGCTATTATCCACTGGGCAGGGTAGACACCGTCTCTTTTGCAATAAGTGGTTCACAGCCGCGAACAGCGTTTGAATAGCTGCTGATCATCTAGAGAGGGTTTGCTTCGTCGTTGGCACGACATCAGGCTATCCAGAAGTCTACGTGTAGCACAACATAAGGGCATACCCTTCCTGGATCGAGATCATGCATCTACAGATCTGAATCGTCGCACTTTCGTCTGTTCCTACGAGGTGACGACACCCAGGATCATTGCTACCTTGTCCGCCGGATCCGGCAATTCCTGACACCAGCTACTCGTCTTTGTTGTACACAAGCCCCGAGAATGGCAACTCCTAATGATGAGCTTGTGGACCCATTCGGGCGAGCGTTCGCTATGGCGAATCTGGCCACTCCTCACGACGATTCGGCACCAGCAACGAGTGCAGATACTACGAGTCCTGGCACGCCATGCGAGGCTAAGCCAAGGGAGAAGAAACGAGTTGGCTTCAGTGGAAGTGATGCTCCAGGCGCTGTAGTGCTCGAATCAGCTCATGCCAGTGGTGCCAGTACACCTGAGCCTGGCCGCTCAGGCAGCATAGCTTCACTTCTTGCGCCCTCAGATCGATCACATCTTCCGCAACTAGCACCTGGAGATGCAGAGCAGATCAAGCAAGCCCTTAGCACTAACAATGCAAGCCGTCCACGTCCAGCTATTCGAAATGTACAGCCGTCACAATCACATCCAGTGGTGGAGTCTGAGGATGAGGACGGAAGCCAGAACCGCGAGAAAGCCTATCGCAGGCAGAAGGCAAGAGAAGCACTACAGCGCGGCAAGGATCTTGAGAGAGATGAACGCATCAGATCTGCACCTACTTCACGCCAGGTTTCACCTCACTCTACCACACGACGGCGAGCTAGACCTGACCTAAGGCTCGATAACCTCCCTGCGGAGCATTACAACATCGATGGCAACAGGACAGGAGAGAGCACTCCACGATATGGAAGCACTCCAGGCTCACCAAGCGCGCACACTCCACCAGGTATGTTGGACAGCTTAGGCTTACGTTCCGGCGCCGTCACACCTATCGAGGACCGACATCTCTACGAAGAGTACAAGCCACCGCCGAAGAAGTATCGTGGTGGCATACTCGGTCAACTTCTTAAACTATCTCAGCACTACGGCCACGACGATATCGTTAGCCCACATGACGACCGTCGACTCAACCCTGATGTGGGCATATCCACACAGCTATATTCTTTCGCAAGAGGCTCTATTACAGATCTTCCCGGCACGACGACTCCCATCCCAGGATTCTCTCCGCCCGAGTCAGGCGCATCAACACCGCGGGACAGAAGACCTTCATGGTATTCATTCAGTAGAAGTCAGTCCACGTCATCCATCTCTCAGCTCAAAGGAAGTTCCTCTAGTCTTGGTGCTCCAGCATCCTCCAGCATTGGCGAAGAGGTCACTCGAAGACTCAAAGAGCATAAAGCAAGGCGACCACATTTGAAAGAGCGAGTTCGTAGCTCAGGCGCACTTCATGCCCTCAGCAGACATGTTCGACCCAAGACAGATGAAGAGTTGCGCATCAAGAAGCACATCTCGGAGATCCTGCAGCGACAACAGTACCTCATCAAGCTTTGTAAAGGCTTGATGATGTACGGCGCACCATCACATCGACTGGAAGAGTATATGAAGATGAGTTCGCGGGTACTACAGATCGAAGCTCAGTTTCTGTACCTTCCTGGTGCTATGCTGATGTCTTTCAACGACCCCTCAACACACACAACAGAGCTCAAGTTGGTCAAGGTGCCTCAAGGTCTTGATCTTGGCAGGCTCCGAGACGTCCACGAGATCTACAAAGAGGTTGTCCACGATCGTATGAGCGTGAGCACAGCAAGAGAGCAGCTGAACACTATCTTCGAGAAGAAGCCTAAGCACAGCAGACTACTGCTGGTCGTAGTCTACGGGCTCGCCAGCGTCTGTGTCGGTCCTTTTGCTTTCGGAGCAAGGCTCATTGATCTGCCTATCGCTTTTCTGATCGGTGCGATAGTCGGCATACTCCAACTATACGTCGCCCAGGCCTCTGAACTGTACCAGAATGTCTTCGAGATCGCGGCATCGGTAGTAACGTCTTTCCTAGCACGTTTGTTCGGCAGCATCTATATCGGAAATCACAGACTATTTTGCTTCTCGGCACTGGCTCAGTCACCAATAGCACTGATATTGCCTGGCTACATGGTATTGCTAGCCAGTCTTGAGCTTCAGAGCAAGAGTATGGTCGCGGGAAGCGTGCGTATGGTATATGCTATCATCTACTCGCTATTCCTCGGCTACGGCATCACCCTTGGTACTGCCATATATGGTCTCCTCGACAAGCATGCAGTCTCTGCTACGACATGTGATGACTCCATCTCGAAGTACTGGTATATCCTTTTCGTTCCGGGCTTCACCATGTGCTTGATCATTGTCAATCAAGCAAAGTGGAAGCAGGCGCCGATGATGCTAGTCATAGCTTCTGTCGGATATGTTGTTAATTACTTCTCTGCACAACGCTTCGTTGGCAACACCCAGATCTCGAATATGTTTGGAGCTCTGGCTATTGGCGTGATGGCGAACGGATACTCTCGTGTAGGAGGAAGGGTGGAGAATATCGCTCTGGACATCTGGGAGACATGGCTACGGCGACACTGGAGGACATTCCGCGAGAAAGTCTTCCTAGTGAAAAAGCTGTCGCCGAAGAAGCTGGAGGCTGGGCTCAAGGATGACCCCGATTATGCACCGCGTGTCAGACGAGTCGGCTATAGCTTGGCCGCTGCCGCTATGCTGCCAGGCATCTTCGTTCAGGTGCCGTCCGGTATTGCTGTTGGTGGCTCCCTTCTCACAGGACTCGCATCAGCGAACCTAATCACCAACAGCAGCTATACCAATGGCACACAGATCAGCAACACTACATCTGTCGAAGCTGCCGCCTCGGCCTTGAACACAGTCTCGTTCAATGTTGGATACTCGGTGGTTCAGGTGGCCATCGGCATAACAGTTGGGCTTTTCTTATCAGCAATCGTAGTCTACCCGTTTGGCAAGAAGCGGTCGGGACTTTTCAGCTTTTGAGCTGCCGATCAAGTTGTTTGTTGCGATCTTTAGCGATGAAGTTGTGGCGTTCATGGTGGTATACCTTAAGACTAGGCTGTTGTCTCTGCTGTAAGCATGGATCATGACGATTAGCATAGTAGTGGCACCTCTGTGTGTAGTAACTGCCGCCTTTGTAGCCTTTTCAAGCCCATTCGATCTTTCTTGGTCTCGGTCACGGCAGCAGGTCATATACGGGCTGTGACAGTCAGTCGCTGAGCATAACTTCCGTGAAATGAATGAACAAACCGCCATAGCCGCGCAGTATTCTTGTGCGCCAGGATGAGCTGCAGCAAGAGCTTGCAGCAAGTCGTATGCATTGTGCGTAGCGCGATCCGGCACTTTGCCAAGCTGATCAGTCTTCCAAGACGTTCCACCAATCTCAGAAGCAAGC